CTATAGGCCCTCACCACAGCATGTGGCTAACTTTTCTTTCTTTCTTTTTTTTTTTTTTTTAGTAGAGACAGTGTCTACTTAAAAAAGTAGAGACTCAGACTGATCTTGAACTCCTGAACTCAAGCAGTCCACCTGCCTCAGCCTCCCAGAGTGCTAGGATTACAGTGTGATCCAGCACCCATCCCGGGACACAGTTTCTAATTGAGTCAGTGAGTTCTAGGACTGGTGGGAGGCCACAGGGAAGAGGGCCACAGGCAGCGTTCCCCTGCACTTGGGAGGTCTGCTTCTCCCTGTCCCTGTGTGTGTCCAGGACTAAAAGCTAGGGCTGTGGTTGATACTGGGGAAGCTCCAGGTCAGGGAAATTAAACTTAGCCCTGCAAGGAGCAGGCCATATTGGAGTTTCACTGTTAAGGCAGAGTCATTCACGCATTACTCCCCCCATTTTACAATTGCAGAACTTGGGGTTCAGAGAGATTAGTGACTTGCCCAAGACCACACAGCTTCCAAGGGTTCTCCCTGAAGTTCTCTGCTTGCCCACAGGTCCTACTGCCTTTAACCCCTGCGCCTTGCAGCCTCTCACGGTGCCATCAGAATGGCATTTCTGCCTGTGAGGGAAAAATGGAATAATGAATCCAGGAGGTTTAGTGTTAAAGATAATCTCTGATAACCTCTGCGATAATCTCCTTAAGCCTCCAGGTTCCAAAGCTCAGAAAAGGGAAGGCACTTGTTCCAGGTCACTAGGGCTAGAACTTGGGTCTCCGCTTCCTAAGCGGGGCTTTGGTCTGTTCCTCTTGGTCCATTCCTGAAATCCTCACCTGCCTCCTCTCTCCCTCAGACTCCCTGTGGACTTTCTAACTCCAGGGCTAAACTCAGCAGCCTGGGTGGGAAGAAGTGGGGGACCTTACAGTGGATTTTCACATATTTGGGGGGGAAGGGAGGGGCAGGAAGCTCAGGAAGAGACAGAAGATGGAATAATGTAGGCTTCAGCACCCGGGGGCTCCTGAAGTTGCCAGCCCTTGATTTTCATGGGGAGTGGCTGGGAAGCCTGGTGGCTCCACTATAGCCCTGGGCCTCAGGACGTGCTGTGAGGAAATGACTCAGGCTCATCCTGTCACCAAGTATGGCCCATCTCAGTCCTGGGGCATGGCCTGGGCTGCAAGTGTAGACTTAAAGGGGAAATAATGGATCCATCATGGGATGTGAGGAAGAGGGAAGTGTCTAGGATGGTAGTCAATTCTGGCTGTGTACCCAGGTGAACAGAGTGCCCTGGAGGCTGTTGTCTTTGGGGTGAAGTGGCTGCCCTTAAGATGGGCTTGGGGGTATCCAGGGACCACAGGGTGTGCCCAGTAGTGGCAGACAGTCTGGTTAATTAGCTGGCACTCATGGGAGACTCAGAAATGATTGTGGAGGGAGGGAAAGAGGGAAGGGATGGTTGATTGCATGGGCAGTGAGAACATGGGAGAGAAATGGTCACTACAGTGTTAGAACACCATGACCCAGAACCTGGAGAGAATAGATGTCTGAAGGATCACTGGGGTCCCCTGGCAGAGCTGGCACAGTTACCTATAACTGGCAAAGGTATTGGACCCCTAGAAGGAGGGGCCAATTTATTGTTTTCTTTTGTTTTGTTCTTATTTCTTTTCTGGGTGACCATAACCTAACCTCCTCCCTTCTCTGGGCCTCAGTTTTCTCCCCTATATAATGGAGTAACACTCCCATACTTCCCAATGCTGTGTTTAAGTATCGAGTGCTATGAAGGATGAGAAAGCACTTTGGAAAACCTAAGGGCTCTGTGTAGGACCAGAGCCTCCTCCAAAGCCAGAACGCTGGCTTACTGTGTTGCAATTAGCTGGTAATAAGCTCCACCCTGCATTTTATCCTGGCGGGTATTCATTATCTCTGCAGGCTGCCCTGGGGTGAGCACCATGCTTGTTCATCAGGAGCTGGGTCTTTGTGCTTTTGAAACTACTGGAGCTCATCAACTCTGTGACCTTGAGCAAGTTGCTTGGGCTCTAGGGACCTCTGTTTACCCAGCTGTCAATGGGGATGTCACACCAGCCTCCCTGGGTTGTCTCGAGGGCTGAGTCAGGCGGAGTTTAGTGGATCATCCAGCATTTCTGTTGTGCACCAGGGCCTGTGTGCTGGGTCCTGGAATATGACAGTGAGCGCCTCACAGAGTTATGAGAGAAATGGCCGTCAAATAAAATAATCACACACTAAGTACCATTCCAAATGGCAGGCCCCTGAGGAGAGCATGCTGGTGCTGAGGTCTGGGGGTTGCCAGGTGCCCTGGATATTAGTCAGCAGGGAGGAGACTTGGGGTTCTGTGAGGAGCAGAGGCAGGCACATCTGTCCCGGGAACAGTGTGACAGGAACATGCTGGGCAAGGCCAGAGCAGATGGCGAGAGAAAAGGCTTGGTGCAGTGTGGGGAGTGGATGAGGGGACCAGAGAGTTTTCCAAGCAAGGCTGTTGCAAAAGGTTACATGGGGTGCAGAGTTGGGCAGAGATTCTGGTGAGATTTAGGAAATAAAATCACTAGAAGTTAATAATGGATCCATCATGGGATGTGAGGAAGAGGGAAGTGTCTAGGATGGTAGTCAATTCTGGCTGTGTACCCAGGTGAAAGATGGGCCCAGCTAGGGAGGGCGGGGTGGGGTGGAGGGTGAGGGTGTCTTGAGCTCAAGTTTGGACATCTTGCTTTGGTTAGGTAGAATTTGGCCTGTGGGTGGGAATGGTGTTCCAAGAGAGGGCACGACATGAGCAAAGGCAGAGAGGAGGGTGGTCAGGCTTGAGGGTGGCAAGGAGGTGGAACAGAGTGCCCTGGAGGCTGTTGTCCTTGGGGTGAAGTGGCTGCCCTTAAGATGGGCTTGGGGGTATCCAAGGGCCACGGGGCGTGCCCAGTAGCGGCAGACACCTGGCATTGATGGCAGCCCTGGCTGCCGCCTGGCTTGCACTAATGACCAGGGAAGGAGAGTGAGTGAGTGACAGGGTGTCAGGGGAGCCCACCCCTCGCACAATGGCCCACATGGTCACCAGAGCCAGCAGGGAGGAGCCTCATTAGGGTCTGGCTTTGCTCCACATTGGGCTGAGGGGTAAAGCCCCGCCACCCATATGTGGGTAAAAAGCAGGGAAGGGGCAGAGGGGTGGAGCGATTACTGCCATGGGAGGGTGCCTGGCTCTGGCCTGGGCTCTACTTAACACTTGCAAACTGACCTTGGGAAAGTCCATTCATTCATTTACTCATTCAACAAACACATTCATCAGCCACAATCAGCGTGCCAGGCACACAGAGATATTAAGGTCCAGCCTTTGGAGGAAACCAGAAACTTGCACCTAAGTAGTGGGAATAAAATCCCCAATAAATGACAGCCACATTCCAGGTCCCCTCTGCACTGGCAGGCATTACTTCATTGAATCTTGATAACTGCTCCAAGGGGTGGCTGATCTTCATATCCCTGTTTCACAGACGGATAAGAACTGAGGCTTAGAGAGGTGAAGCCTCAACAGTCAGAGCAGGCAGGAGGTGGGGCTAGAATTCAAACCCAGGTCCACACAAAGTTGGACAATGGATTCTGACATTCATTTTTCTGCCCTATTCTGTCCTGGCCCTTTATCAGAATCACCTGGAGAGTTTAGGGGCAAAGTGAGGCTTGAAATTTCCCTTGTTTAATTTGTTTCCTGAGTTACTGGTGGGGCAGAGTTGGGAGCCATCCATGTGTGTAGGGTCCAGGTCCCTGGGCTGCACTTGTCTGTGCCTCAGTTTCCTCATCCAGCAGGTGTTGAGGCAGCAGTGGGGATAGGGGAGTGCCCGGCATAGCCTTGGCCAGATGGGAAGGGGTTTCATAGGAAGGGGATGTTGGGCTGCCCGGCTCTACTGGGTCCTCCGCCCCAGTGCTGACCTCTCCTGGGTGGCACACTCTGTTATGGGGGACTCAGGCCTGGCTGCTCTCAGGGAAGGTCCAGCTGGCACCCACCTTGGGCCTCTGCACTTACTGTTCCAGAACACCACACCAGCCTTCCGTGGCCGGCTGTGCTCCCTTTTCCTGTCAGTCCCTTGTTTGAATGAATGTTGCCTTTTCACAGAGACCTTCCTGATCGTCCCCAACCCCTCCTCCCTGACCCATTACTCTCTGCCTGAGCCTCACCCGAGAAACTTAAAATCACTAATGCCCAGAGATTGGTTCTGTTGGTCTGGGGTAAGCCCTGGGCATTGCTGCTACCAAAAGCAGCCTGGGCTATGGATTGCCCACTCCATCACCAACTGACACAGCAGGAGCTCAGAGAGTACCTGTGAATGAAGGACTAGGAGGAGCAGGGCTTGGGAAAAGGCAGCATGTCCATCAGGATAAATCTGTCCCCTGACAGCTGGTGAGCCCTGCGAGGGTACTTACAACAGGTGAAATTCCCGATCAGCCACTTCACTACCTCCATGGGTCCTGGAAAGTCCCATGCTGGCTGCAAGCCCTCCTCAGGGTGACGGCAGTGGGTGAGGTGGGCAGGAATAGTTGCAGCCTCCCCCAGATGTCGAATTGCACATTGGCAGACAGGACACAGAGTCAGAGATGGAGGGGCACACCAACCTCTGTCTGTGCTCCCATTGTGCGGGTGGCCCCTGAGGCCTAGTGAAAAGGGAGCCTCCGCCAAGGTCATGCCATAGTTGAAAAGGGCTGAGGCGAGGCAGCTAGAGACCTCCTCCCAGGCTCAGCTTGCTGTGTGACCTTGGCCAAGCCGCTGACCTTCTCTGAGCTTCAATTTCCCTTTCTATAGGTATCTTGAGGGCCTTAGTGGTGATAGTCCCAAGCTCCAGGCATCAGAAGTTTCTGGGAATCCTTTCCTGGGCAGCACAGATATGCAGAGGGCCTGCAAGGGGTTAAGCTCTGCTCTGGCTCTGCACCGCAGACAAACCCCCTCCTTCTGACAAACACTTGTAGGAAATCAGGCTGGGCGCTTCCTGCAGGGGCGGGGAGAGGTGGGGAGCCATGCTGTCTGTGAACAGCAGCCCCAGCTGGCAGAGCGGGCCTGGAGGCGGGCCAGGGTGCAATGGAGGCAGGGGGCTCCCCAGGTTTGGAACAAAGACCCCTCTGGCAGGTCCCCTGAACCTGAGCAGGCAGGATGGTTGTGGAGCCTGAGAAAGGTAAGGGATTAGGATGGAAGAGGGCCGGGGAGTCTGCCTTCCTCCGGACTGTCCAGTCACAGCCTCTGAGACAATCCAGGCAGCTGGACCAGCCCAGCCAGGAAGTTGCAGCTGCCGCAGCTGTACCACTTCTCTCAGCTTAGGGGATTTCGGTCCCCTGTGTAAGGGTGGATTTTCAGGGGATTTCTCTAAGCCTTAAATTCTAGCCCCAGCCCTCACTCCCTTCTCTTATGAACTTGGGCAAGCGTTGGGCCCTCTCTGCCCAGTGTCCTCATGTGCATGGGAGAGTTAGTCCCATCCGTTGCTAAGGGGCCTCAGTGACAATGCAGGCATGGTGAGCAGGCCTGGAGGCAGCGGGGTTCCCTACAGAAGTTGCCCCTTCTGCCAGCCATAAGGGTAAGATGAGACGCCCAAGCTGTCCAGAGGTCAGCAGACCCAGCTCAGCTCTTGAGGGTGGCGAAATCAGAGCGGCAACAACAGGGCACCGTTTCTCTTTCTCTTCAGCCTCTGCTGCCTGGGCAAGCTGGAGGCAGGGAGGGGACATACAGAGGGGGAGTGGCTGGCACTTGCCAGTGGGGCTAATTTCCACACAGCTGTTGGGAACCCCTCAAGGGGGGGTGCAGGGGGTACTGAGCCCAACAGCCCAGCCTTTCTGGAGGGCCCAGCTACTTGATACGGGGAGTCTTCCGTCCCCTTTCTTGCTTTCAGAGTCGCAGTACCCCAGTGTTGAGTCCCTGGGCTGCACTTGTCTGTGCCTCAGTTTCCTTATCCAGCAGGTGTTGGGGCAGCAGTGGGGATAGGGGAGTGCCCGGCATAGCCTTGGCCAGATGGGAAGGCTTTTCAGGGGCATAGGAAGGGGATGTTGAGCTGCCCGGCTCTGCTGGCAGAAGAGGATCTGGGTGTCTGGGCAGCTCTGAGTGATGGAGCTCTAAAGGGAAGGGTCCTCAGTTTGGGAATGGTTGTGGGGGAGGGCAGGCAGAGGAGCCCTGTGGGGGAGGTGGGGAAGAAGAGTGTCCCACCAGGAACTGGCGAAGGACACCTTAGGGCAGCGGTTCTCAACCAGTATTAAAGGGCTGCGGCATTAGGAAGGTTGAGAACCACTGCCTTAGGGGAAGGGGTTTGTTAGACCCCTGCATAAGCCAAGGCCACAGGGGTGGCAGAGGGGTGGGGAGATGGACAGAGAAAGGAAGTGTTTCTCCCAGGTTGACAGGGACCCTGAGCCCAACAGCCCTCCTTAGGAGGACTTAATCCTAAAGGGGTCAGCTCACATGGCTGGAGCCTTCACCAGACTCCTCTGCCCTCGCAGCGGGTGACCCGGCCAGCCCTGCCTTTGTCTGGCATTCAAGGTCCCCTGCCCTTAGCTTCCTCGCAAGCTCAGTTCATACTTTCGGACCTCCGTGCCTTTGCCTGTGCTGTTCCCTCTCCCTGGAGTGCCCTCCCCCTTTCCTCTCCACCAAATATTATTCTTTTCTCAAGGCTATCTTACAGCTTCCTTCTTCAGTAACCCC